CGTGCCCCAGTATTCAAACTTGGGCTGCCAGTTCTCCCTGGCTAACATAACCTAGTGTTTGCCTATATTATCGGCCTATTACTACCAACATTAAGGTCTTAGATCTACATTATTATTATCTACAGTTGCCTCAATAGTCCTAATATTAGTTCACTAACAGTAAAAACTACCTACCTCCTCCTTGAAGGGCAAATCTATCAATTAAGAAGTACCTTCCAACCACCTTCGCCAACCCGGGTGTGTGTGTGTGTGTGTGTGTGTGTGTGTGTGTGTGTGTGTGTGTGTGTGTGTGTGTGTGTGTGTGTGTGTGTGTGTGTGTGTGTTTTGGGTGGGTGTAAGGGCCACCCAACCCAGCCATTCCATAAATGACCTAATGGGATCTTTGTACGAAGTATCTGCCCTGTGGAACTTTTAGGACCGAATAAATTTCCACATTGGGCACACTCCAGCTCTGAGGAGCTGGATGAGATTTTCGCCTTATGATCGGTGATACACATGTAACAACACATACTGTATATGCCACCTTTATATCAATAATGTATCTCTTAAATCATCTGTACCATATTATGTAATAAAATATTCCTATTGGTAAAAAAAGAATGAAAAGATGGGGTGGTAGGGGAAGTGGAATATTCAAACGGCTTCAGGAAGAAATCCAAATATTCTTCCTTGAAGCCTTTATATCCACTATCGTTACTGCCTGATAAACCTTAAGATAGTCCTAAGTTTGCCTAAGATACTCTTCCAATTTAGGAACTTTAATAGAAACAGTGAATCATGCCATGACTTAACCATTCACATTACTAAATTTACTAATTGTAATATTGTTATATGTTTTGTACTACGTCATTATCACAAAACTGATTAATCATTTCAGTTACCTAGTACGTAATAATGTTTATATTACTATTCAATTCAATTCAATTCAATTCAAAGTTTATTCTCTATAAAGATTACAATGTTGAATTTACAGAATTTGGTTGTTGTGTGGTTTACATGTAGTTAAATAATGATTACAGAGTGTACCACTAGAACACCTAGCATGGCTAGGCATTTCGGGCAGACTTAGTTTAATTCTTTATTTTAAAATATTACAAATTATGAGGTAAGTTGGTATTATGGCTAAGTGACTAAATACTAGTTTGTGAGTTTAGCAATGTGAATGCTTTTGTTTTGGCACAGTACATAGTTTCAGTATTGGAGTATCATAGGATTCATTATTTTAAGATTGAGATTAATATTTCTGTTTATGGTCAAGTAGGTGAGTGAGTGTAAGTGTGAACCACCAGGTGGTATTTGTGTAGTTAGTTGATGGGGTGTATCAGGGAGATAAGATGTTTTCTAATGGTAGTTTTAAAGGTGATGAATGTGTCTGCAGTTCTAGAGTTCTCAGGTAGGGTGTTCCAGATTTTAGGGCCTTTGACATACATTGAATTTTTGTAAAGGTTTAGTCGGACACGGGGAATGTCGTAGAGATGTTTGTGGCTGGTGTTATGCCTGTGGGTTCTGTCACAACTATCAAGAAAGCGTTTTAGGTCAAGGTTGATATTGGAGTTTAAGGTCCTGTAGATGTAGATTGCACAGTAGTAAGTGTGGATGTACTGAACAGTGAGTAAGTTTAGATCTATGACGAGTGGGGGGGTGCATTGCCAGGGATGGGATTTAGTGATTATTCTTACTGCAGCTTTTTGTTGGGTTATTATTGGCTTTAGGTGTGTTACTGCAGTTGATCCCCAAGCACAAATAGCATGGGTGAGGTATGGATAAATGAGTGGTATAGTGTGAGAAGGGCATTTTACGGCACGTAGTATCGTATCTTGGAGAGGATCCCAACCGTTTTGGATACTTTTTTGGTTATGTGTTGGATATGGGTGCTGAAATTCAGGTTGTTGTCAAGGTATAGGCCTAGGAATTTGCCCTCATTATGTCTGGTAATTAGAGTGTTGTCGATCTTAATGTTAATTTGTGCATCTCCTGCTCTTCTTCCAAACATAATATAGTAGGTTTTGTCAGTGTTAAGCGTAAGTTTATTGGCTGTCATCCAAGTCGATATTTTGATCAGCTCCTCGTTAAAAAATGGTGTTGAGGGTGGCAAGATTAGGGTGAGAGATGACATAAGTCGTGTCGTCAGCAAAGAGAATGGGTTTCAGGTGTTGGGATACGTTTGGAAAGATCATTGATGTATATGAGGAAGAGCGGGGGGACCAAGGACACTTCCCTGCGGAACTCCAGTATCAAGTGGCCGTGTTGTTGATGCTGTGTCTTTAATGGTGACATACTGATACCTATTAGTAAGGTAAGATTTGAAATAAGCAAGTGCATGGCCTCTTATACCGTAATGATCAAGTTTGTGGAGTAGGATGTCGTGGTCTACTGTGTCAAAAGCTTTTCTTAGGTCAATAAAAATTCCTAGTGGATATTCCTTATTTTCCAATGTTGTGTAAAGCAGATCTAGCATTTTTATGATTGCGTCAATAGTGCTTTTATTTTTCCTGAATCGAAATTGGCAGGGGTTGAGTATGTTTTGTGTTGTTATAAATGAATATAGTTTCCTGTGCACGAGTTTCTCAAAGATTTTGGATAGCAATGGTAAGTTTGATATTGGCCTATAGTTGTTTAAGTCTGTAGGGTCACCACCTTTATGTATTGGTGTAACCCTTGCCATCTTGAGTAGTTTCGGGAAGGTGCTAGTTTCTAGTGACTTGTTAAAAAGTAATGAAAAAGCATGCGAAAGGATATGGGCCGCTCGCTTGTACAGTAATGGTGGGACATTAGACAGATTCCCTGAGTTGTTTTTAAGTGACTTTATAATCTCGGTGACTTCCGAGGGCTCAGTTGGTGCAAGATAGAAGGAATTTGGGAAATTCCCATCTAGGTAGTCCCCGGCATGGGCATTGGTATGTGGGATTGTATTGGCGAGATTAGATCCTATGGTTGAGAAGAAGTCGTTTATCTTGTTAGCTGTGTCAGTGGGATGTAGTGGTGTTTCATTAGGTTTAGTTAGGACAATATTCTTGTTTTTTTTCAGTTTGTGGGTCCCTAGAATCTGAGAGAGTGTTTTCCAGGTCTTTTTTATATCTCCTCTAGTGTCTGTGAATCTACTGGAGTAGTATAGTTGTTTGGCTTTCTTTATTACTTTGGTGAGAACTGATGAATAGTGTTTAAGAATATCTTTGTGTATTAAGCCCTGTCTATATTGCTTTTCATATTGGTGTTTCTTGTCAATGGATTTCAGAATGGTACTGGTTAGCCATGGGCAACCAAGCCGTTTGTTTGTGATCTGTTTCGTTTTTATAGGACAATGTTTGTTGTATAGTCTAAGTAATTTGTTAAGAAAAATGTCTGTCCAGTCATCAATACCATTGGCCTTGGAGAATTCTGTAGGCCAGTCAACAATCTCTAGGTCAGCTGTGAACTTCCTTATTGAGGCCTCGTCATGGAGTCTAAATGAGACTTTGTTGTATTCAAGTGGTGGTTTACTAATGTTTGTCAGGAAGAAGGTAGGGTAGTGGTCTGTAGTGCTATCTGTGATTATCCCTGATTTAAGGGGGTCTAGTATATTGGTCCATATGTGGTCTATTATGGTTGCACTTTTCTCAGTGAGCCTGGTTGGTTTAGTTATTGTTGGTATGAGAAGTGTGTTGTTCATATTGTTGATGAAATCAGTTACAGGCTGATCATCTAATAAGCCAAGGTTGATGTTGAAGTCTCCAGCTAAGAGAAGGTGGTGCTTATTCATTTGTCTGTTTGTTATTAGTGACTTTAATTTCTCACTGAAATTTGGGATGTTTGTTTGAGGTATCCTGTAAATGGCACCGATTGTTATAGGTGTCTTAAGGTTTTTTACAGTAAAATTAGCAAAATTGTATTCCCCATATTCATCACTAAAGCAAGTGGTGCTAATACAAGATAACTGGTTAGAGTAATAGATTGCAATACCACCCCAACTTGGTTTGGTCTGCAGTTGTGAATTGCTGTGTATCCTGGTAGAGGGTAGATATCTATTGTGTCCTGCTTAAGCCAGGTCTCAGTAAGAATAATGCAGGAGAAGGGTGTCTTTAGTGATTCAAGGAGTGCCAGGAGGTCATCATAGTGTTTGCTTAAGGACCTGATGTTGTAGTTAAGTACTGATAGACTTTTAGCATTGTTTAGGATAGTGCTGGCTTGTGTTGCTGTGTAATAAAGGCATTTACTTTCCAATAGGTTTTGATTGGGTGTCAGATTATGGAGGTTTAGATCAGGGTCAACGTGTCAATCATCTTCTAGGTTTAAAAATTATGGTTATTTATATCCTGAGTTGTGTGTTGAGTTCTAGTACTGATATCTGTAGTGGTGGGAAGTTTGGCTAAGTATATAGCTAGAGTATTTTGGTCATATAGAGTATAGTCACTACTACACATAATGAAGTTGATGTTGTCTATGTGTTGTGCTGGAATGAACTAAAGTACAACTAGGTATAACTAGTAATATAAAAATACAAATTTAAAATAGAACAAGACTCTCACTTGTAATTGCACTAAGGTCTAATATAATGACTTTTGTGGAGTCTATGTTTTGAGCTAGAATGAGCTATAGTACAACTAGATTTAATCTAATAATATAAAAATACAAATTAAAAATAGCACCGGTCTCTCACTAGTAATTGCACTATGGTCTAATATAATGAATTTGGTATTGACTATAGTACAACTGTGTTTAATCTAATAATATAAAAAAGGCACAAGACTCTCAATTGTAATTGCACTAAGGTCTTATATAAGTTATATACTGTGTCAGTATAGAGTAAGAATTAGCATTAGTCTGCCAGAAAAGCCTAGGCATGCTAGATGCCTTCTTTGTAATTAATATTTTATAATATGCAAACCACTCATTGTAGAGCTTTGCACGGAAATAAATATTTCCTTGTCCAAATAAACTCAAATTCGTAAAACACATTGTTCTGGTAGTCAGGGAATTTTGGTCTCAATAAGAAGTAGTTTCAAAGGCCCTTAACACCCAACAACATCAATAAGACGTAGTTTCAGAGGCCCTTAACGCCCAACAACAACAATAACAAGACATTAAGACTGTTTTTCCTGCTTGTCACACCAACAATAGCAATAAATCAATGGTTTTTCACCATGTATCACTGATCCACTGAAGTAAGTAGCAATGTTATTATATAAATATTGTATTGAAAAGTTTTCATAAAGGCCACAGAACATGTAAAGTATTATGTTTGAGGAATGTTGAATGTGGATGCTTATCCACCTAGGATAACCTGGGAAGGGTTACCCACCTAGGATAACCTGGGAAGGGTTACCCATCTAGGATAACCTGGGAAGGGTTACCCATCTAGGATAACCTGGGGAGGGTTACCCACCTAGGATAACCTAGGGAGGGTTACCCACCTAGGATAACCTGGGAAGGGTTACCATCTAGGATATCCTGGGAAGGGTTACCCATCTAGGATAACCTGGGGAGGGTTACCCACCTAGGATAACCTGGGAAGGGTTACCCATCTAGGATAGCCTGGGAAGGGTTACCCATCTAGGATAACCTAGGGAGGGTTACCCACCTAGGATAACCTGGGAAGGGTTACTCATCTAGGATAACCTGGGGAGGGTTACCCATCCAGGATAACCTGGGGAGGGTTAGCCACCTAGGATAACCTGGGAAGGGTTACCCATCTAGGATAACCTGGGGAGGGTTACCCATCTAGGATAACCTGGGAAGGGTTACTCATCTAGGATAACCTGGGGAGGGTTAGCCACCTAGGATAACCTGGGAAGGGTTACCCATCTAGGATAACCTGAAAAGGGTTAGCCACCTAGGATAACCTGGGGAGGGTTACCCATCTAGGATAACCTGGGGAGGGTTACCCATCTAGGATAACCTGGGAAGGGTTAGTCACCTAGGATAAGCTGGGGAGGGTTACCCATCTAGGATAACCTGGAGAGGGTTACCCATCTAGGATAACTTGGGTAGGGTTACCCATCCAGGATAACCTGGGGAGGGTTAGCCACCTACGATAACCTGGGAGGGTTACTAATCTAGGATAACCTGGGGAGGGTTACCCATCTAGGATAACCTGGGAAAGGTTATCCATCTAGGATAACCTGGGGAGGGTTACCCATCTAGGATAACCTGGGGAGGGTTACCCATCTATAACAACCTGGGGAGGGTTACCCATCTAGGATAACCTGGGAAGGGTTAGCCACCTAGGATAACCTGGGAAGGGTTAGCCACCTAGAATAACCTGGGGAGGGTTACCCATCTAGGATAACCTGGGAAGGGTTAGCCACCTAGGGTAACCTGGGAAGGGTTAGCCACCTAGGATAACCTGGGGAGGGTTACCCATCTAGCATAACCTGGGGAGGGTTATCCATCTAGGATAACCTGCGAGGGTTAGCCACCTAGGATAACCTGGGGAGGGTTACTAATCTAGGATAACCTGGGAGCGTTACCCATCTAGGATAACCTGGGAGCGTTACCCATCTAGGATAACCTGGGGAGGGTTTGCCACCTAGGATAATCTGGGGAGGGTTAGCTTCCTAGGATAACCAGGGAAGGGTTAGCCACCTAGGATAACCTGGGGAGGGTTAGCCATCTAGGATAGCCTGGGGAGGGTTACCCATCTAGGATAACCTCGGGAGGGTTACCAATCTAGGATAACCTGGGGAAGGGTTGCCCATCTAGGATAGCCTGGGGAGGGTTACCCATTTAGGATAACCTGGGGAGGGTTACCCATCTAGGATAACCTGTGAAGGGTTACCCATCTAGGATAACCTGGGAAGGGTTACCCATCTAGGATAACCTGGGGAATGTAAACAACCCAGGATAATCTGGGGAGGGTTAGCCACCTAGGATAACCTGGTGAGGGTTAGCCACCTAGGCTAACCTAGGGAGGGTTAGCCACCTAGGATAACCTGGGGAGTGTTAGCAACCTAGGATATCCTAGGGAGAGTTACCCACCTAGGATAACCTGGGGAGGGTTAGCCACCCATGATAACCTGGGGAGGGTTAGCCACCTAGGATAACCCTGATGAGGGTTAGCCGTCTAGGATTACCTGGGGAGGGTTAGCCACCCAGGATAACCTGGGGAGGGTTAGCCACCTAGGATAACCTGGGGAGGGTTACACATCTAGGATAAGCTGGGGAGGGTTACCCATCTGGAGTTTACCTGGAGAGAGTTCCGGGGGTCAACGCCCCCGCGGCCCTCTCTGTGACCAGGCCTCCTGGTGGATCAGAGCCTGATCAACCAGGCTGTTACTGCTGGCTGCACGCAAACCAACGTACGAGCCACAGCCCGGCTGGTCAGGAACCGACTTAGGTGCTTGTCCAGTGCCAGCTTGAAGACTGCCAGGGGTCTGTTGGTAATCCACCTTATGTATGCTGGGAGGCAGTTGAACAGTCTCGGGCCCCTCACACTTATTGTATGGTCTCTTAACGTGCTAGTGACACCCCTGCTTTTCATTGGGGGGATGTTGCATCGTCTGCCAAGTCTTTTGCTTTCGTAGTGAGTGATTTTCGTGTGCAAGTTTGATACTAGTCCCTCTAGGATTTTCCAGGTGTATATAATCATGTATCTCTCCCGCCTGCGTTCCAGGGAATACAGGTTCAGGAACCTCAAGCGCTCCCAGTAATTGAGGTGTTTTATCTCCGTTATGCTCGCCATGAAGGTTCTCTGTACATTTTCTAGGTCAGCAATTTCACCTGCCTTGAAAGGTGCTGTTAGTGTGCAGCAATATTCCAGCCTAGATAGAACAAGTGACCTGAAGAGTGTCATCATGGGCTTGGCATCCCTAGTTTTGAAGGTTCTCATTATCCATCCTGTCATTTTTCTAGCAGATGCAATTGATACAATGTTATGGTCCTTGAAGGTGAGATCCTCCGACATGATCACTCGTCTTTGACGTTGGTGTTTCGCTCTATTTTGTGGCCAGAATTTGTTTTGTACTCTGATGAAGATTTAATTTCCTCGTGTTTGCCATATCTGAGTAATTGAAATTTCTCATCGTTAAACTTCATATTGTTTTCTGCAGCCCACTGAAAGATTTGGTTGATGTCCACCTGGAGCCTTGCAGTGTCTGCAATGGAAGACACTGTCATGCAGATTTGGGTGTCATCTGCAAAGGAAGACACGGTGCTGTGGCTGACATCCTTGTCTATGTCAGATATGAGGGTGAGGAACAAGATGGGAGCAAGTACTGTGCCTTGTGGAACAGAGCTTTTCACCGTAGCTGCCTCGGACTTTACTTTGTTGACTACTACTCTCTGTGTTCTCTTAGTGAGGAAATTATAGATCCATCGACCGACTTTTCCTGTTATTCCTTTAGCATGCATTTTGCGCGCTATTATGCCATGGTCACACTTGTCGAAGGCTTTTGCAAAGTCTGTATATATTACATCTGCATTCTTTTTGTCTTCTAGTGCATCTAGGACCTAGTCGTGGTGATCCAATAGTTGAGACAGACAGGAGTGACCTGTTCTAAACCCATGTTGCCCTGGGTTGTGTAACTGATGGGTTTCTAGATGGGTGGCGATCTTGCTTCTTAGGACCCTTTCAAAGATTTTTATGATATGGGATGTTAGTGCTATCGGTCTGTAGTTCTTTGCTGTTGCTTTACTGCCCCCTTTGTGGAGTGGGGCTATGTCTGTTGTTTTTAGTAACTGTGGGACGACCCCCGTGTCCATGCTCCCTCTCCATAGGATGGTAAAAGCTCGTGATAGTTGCTTCTTGCAGTTCTTGATGAACATGGAGTTCCATGAGTCTGGCCCTGAGGCAGAGTGCATGGGCATGTCATTTATCGCCTGTTTGAAGTCATTTGGCATCAGGCTAACATGAGATAGGCTTGTGTTAACCAAATTCTATGGGTCTCTCATAAAAAATTCATTTTGATCTTGGACTCTCAGTCTGGTTAGCGGCTTGCTAAAAACTGAGTCATATTGGGACTTGAGTAGCTCACTCATTTCTTTGCTGTCATCTGTGTAGGACCCATCTTGTTTGAGTAGGGCCCAATACTGGACGTTGTTCTCGACTTTGATTTGGCATAGGAGAAAAAATCCTTTGGGTTTCTTTCGATTTCATTTATGGCTTTTAGTTCTTCCCGCGATTCCTGACTCCTGTAAGATTCCTTTAGCTTAAGTTCGATGCTTGCTATTTCTCTGACCAGTGTCTCCCTACTCCTTTCAGATATATTGACCTCTTTTAGCCGCTCTGTTATTCTTTTCCGTCGCCTGTAAAGGGAGCGCCTGCCCCTTTCTAATTTACATCTACTCCTTTTTCTTAGAGGAATAAGCCTTCTGCATACATCGAGCGCCACCGAGTTAATCTGTTCTAGGCATAAGTTGGGGTCTGTATTGCTTAGTATATCTTCCCAGCTTATATCAGTTAGGATTTGGTTTACTTGGTCCCACTTTATGTTTTTGTTATTGAAGTTGAATTTGGTGAATGCTCCCTCGTGACTAATCTCATTATGTCGGTCGGGGGCTCCGCGCATACATGTCTGAACCTCAGTTATGTTGTGATCTGAGTACAGGAGGGCCCCACTTATACGGCAGGTTAGGTTCCATTCTACCGCCGTAAAGCGGAAATCGCCGTAAAGTGGAACACCCTTTTTTTCCACTTATAAATGCATACAAACACTAGATAACAAGTTTACACTAACATATATTAAGTTAGCAATAGAACCAGGCATCAAAAAACAATAAAAAAGTACAATACACACATAGTGCACTCATTACTTACCTGAAAATATTTATAGTCTTAATCTAGGGTGAGACAAGTAGTATTTATTGTAAGAAATCAAGTGTGGTACGTATGGTAATAGCCAGGCTACCTTACCAGGCCACCCCACCCACACATACTATTCTATGATAGTTAAGCATCCCAGAGCGATAAAATGTATATACAGTTCACTCATTACTTACCTTAAAATATTTGTAGTCTTAATGTAGGGTCAGGAGTAAGTAAATGAGATAAAACGAATAAATGAGAGAGAGAAAGAATGAGTACATGAGAGGGGGCAGGCGCAGAGTTATGTAAACAAAGCAGGCGAAGGTAAGTTTTGTAAACGAAGTGTACACGTCTGGTTTGTGTACAAGTTACATTGTGTACAGGTTGTCTCTACATTGATACGGTAGAATTAATAAAGAAGAA